AGGTCTCATCAGTCGATCGAGAGTCGCGCTCCGCTCCGCTCTGCGAATCGCGACGAGAACGAGAAGATCCTGACTTTTGTTCAAATTTTTGTCCAGTTGTTCAGCCGATATTAAAAATGTCTGGATTATTCCCTGGAATATGTCCCTTGCCCGCTGATATATTCCTCAAAAGATTTACTTTTGCGAATTGTGTCTCTTTTCCTTTCTCTCTTTCCCTTCCGTTCTGCCGTGGAATTTGATTCGATAAATGCTCGCTCGCTGCCGTATTACCCACTCGCCGGCGCGTTGGTGCGTACTTTAGTCAGCTCGCCTTCAGTCTCTCATCTTCAGCTCGTCGCACCATTGACATTTCGAAGCACCCTCCTTCGTCACGATCACGGCGCCGAGCCGTGATCGGATGGCTCGATCGGATCGCGCGATCGCGTCGGCGTTTCGTCACGCGGCAAATCAATTTTCGCGATCGATCACGCCGCGCCGACTGCTGTTTGATTGCCCGCGTTTGATTGATCGCGTCGCGTCGCGCGGATGTCGTTCTCGCGCTTCTGCAGACGCCGCGGCCTGCGCGGCGATTCGATCTCTACAGCGCGGCCTTAACAGTGTGCTATCGATAACAAGAGATCTACAAAGTCTCGGTGAACATAGATAGATCTCGCGGCCACGCGAGCCGCTTTCTAAGCGCGCGATGCGGCTCCTGGGACGAGTGCGCCGAGTGCGTCGCAATCGCGCGCTCCGTTCGGCGATTGCAATTACGTGAATCATCGCTGCAGCTTAGAGAGATGCCGCCCGGCGCGGCGCGGCGAGTCGGCCGCGAGGAAACGAAACCTGCCGCTCGCTCGACGATGGCTGAACGCGGCACTTTTCTGCTCTCGCGCGACGCAAGCGCGAGCAAGTCGATCGGCGGCGGCGGCGTCGCTTCTTGTCGTCGCTCGTCGACGACGGTGATCCGGCGAGACAATTATGTGCCATTACGGAGCGATCAGCGCTGGAGGCGCTTCAGGTGGCCGCCCGCGCCGCGCGATCGATCGCTGCGAGTAATGAATAGGAGGGAATCGACCCCATCAGGACGCCGTAAAGTCGCGTAATTGGACGGTAATGATAGCGCATTTCGATTTGCTCGCGCTCTTCGTCGGCACTTGGGTGTCGAGCAAAGTGGCATTTTGTGCCGGTCGCCGGTTTTATAACCGGCAAAGGGCAAATTCCTGCGGCGCGAATCCGCGATGGATTCCTTCTAGCGAGGCTCGACGCACGTTCGAGAAAGAAGAAGAAGAAGAAGAAGAAGAAGCACGCCATTGTGCGCGGCCGCGACGATGGAACGTGGAACGCAGCGAGAGCGAGCGGCTCGAGAAGAGCGGAGAACGAAGAAGAACGGTAAACGGGATTATCGGACGGACGGGTGCGTGCCGTTACAGGCCGCGCGTTACAGGTCGAGACATACTTTCTAACAATTTCGAGTTCACTGTCCAGTGAACATTGTGTCCACGATTGCACCATATAGAGAGCCGCGGCATCCCGTCATTTGCAGTCCCGTCAGGACTGCGCGCGCGCGCGCGCGCGCGCGCGAAACACGAAATCCGCGAATCGCGAAAATACTTGGATTCGCCTTTGCGACGAGCCCGCCGAGCGGCCGATTTGCTCTCTTCATTCGACGCGCGTTCATCAGCCGAGAGCTGACATCGATCGATCCGTGTCTCTCCGTGTCTTGGAGAATTTTACACCCGAGACCGTCTCGCGCGCGCGCGCTCATGAACATGAACGCGTAAAGAGTGAAAATCTTCTCATTCGAAAGCTCATCCGGAGATATTCGCTTTTCGCGATTCCGAATCACGATCGTCTCGCCGCGAGATTGAAAGCAATCGAGGATCCATCCGCCGTGCGGCGCAATAATGCGCGGCGTTCGCGCAGCTCTCGCGCGACTCGCGCGTGCACGGGTGCGCGCCGCCACGTGGAGAATTTACCAGCGGCAAAGGGCACATTCCTGGCAACGCGCGGATCAGCAACGATTTCTCGCCGAGTCATCGACGACTGCGACGAAAAGCGGCGAGATATTCGCCGGCAGCTTGGCATTTGCGAGGAACCTCGTAAGGGAGCGAGTCGGCGCGGCCGCGATGGTGCAACGAGCTCGCGCGCGGGGTCCATCCAAAATGCCAAGCCGGCCCTTACCCTCTTGCCTCTCGATTTCTTTCCGAGTCATTTCACAGCGAGTCTGCGCTGTGACATTTGAAAAAACAAATCTGCAGACTGGGTGGATGCCTTTCGAGCGAGCGCGCGAATGAGAGATCACGGCGCGGCGCATTGTCTGAGGAAGAACGCGGCGCTCTGGCCGTCCGATCTTCGCGACGCTTGCGCGCGCGCGCGCGCGCGAGAGAGAGACGATTGTGTCACAATATTGTGATATTTCGACGCTCGGCCTGTCATTACGCGGAGGACGAGGGGAGGCCGATACCCGGCAGCAAACGAGACTGCATCCACCGCGGCAAGTTTCACTTTCGAGCGCGTATCGCGGCCGCCGCGCGACCGCAGATTCGCGACGAATCGCGACGACGCGGACGAAGACGACGTCGCGACGACGAGGCCTGCGTTCGTGCCAAGTGCTACATCGCTCGCAAGAAACAACGTCGACGGCAAGCAAGAAGGGCGGACGAATATTTATCCGCTTCATTTCGCGGAGTTATGTAAAAATCTTAGGTCATCGTAGAAAGCTGCATCGAGCGCGCGCGCGCGCGAGGCGGGCGCGTTTTTCCCCGCCGGCCGCGGCCGGCGATCCGCCGCGTCGCCGCGGTATAAACAAACGTTACGTAAAACGCGCTCAATCGCCCAGCGATAACATCAATCATATCACACGCGCGACTTTCCACTAATCACGCGCGGAAACGTCTCATTTTCCGCACGACTCTCCCCAAGTCCCGACTCCCAAGTAGTCAGCCAGCCAGCCGTAATTTTTACCTTCCCGGAGTGAAGTAATTTCGCGGACGGATGCGGCAGCTATTTTATCACACGCTCGGAAACGCCGGTAAAATTCATAGATGCTCTCCGACGTAATCTCGGTCCTCGGACCCAACTCGCTCGACTCGCCCCGCGCCGTGCCGTCGCTGCGACACAACAAATAAAAGGACTCTCAGAGAGATCCAAGGGCGCGCTTTGCTCATGAGGAAGCGACAGCTGCGGCTTGAAGTTACGAGCTTGGTGTTCCGGGATCGCCGATGAAAGCTGCCACGTGACGTAGCGACGAGTACCATCCTCGACGTCGACGGACTGCGTCCGCAGTCGTCCGACATTCAGGTCGTACCTGAAGAGCGATCGGACACGCTCGACACGCTCGTCAGTGGCAGTGCATTCGGCAGTGCAGAAGCATCTTTTAAAAAGCTTGAATAAGCGGTGGTTTTGCGAGTGTCGTAAGATTTTCTTCTTTCAAGCGTACCGCAGCGGTTTAGCAGCGCTCTTCCAACGCTTGTTTCCAACAAGCGATTGCTATTTTCTTCCAGCGTATACAGTGTATTCCTGAATACACGACAGATGACGCTCAGCTGACGTGATATCGGAGATACCAAGTGCCAAGTGCCAAATCGGCGTTAGGCGAAAAATCAGCAACGCAGCACATCACGCAGCGACTCGCCTCGCTGCTTCTTCTGCTCGATCTGCAGTTGCAATATCCTTTTTCCTTGTTGTCGCGTTTGCCGAACGACCACCCAAGGAGGTCGTTATTCTCCCGACCTTGACAAACTTACGTCACCGTTGCTTCTCTCATCACTTTCTCGCCTTGTCAACGTAAGCTCTCCGCCGAAATGCCAACGACGCGCTGGCAAACGCGAAAGGATCCGCGAGTGATCACCACCGGCCTGTGCCTGTGGTTTCCACCTCGACGATGCTGACGGCGAAAATGTGCGCCGCGGCGAAGGCGCGTGCGGACGTTGCGCAGCCGACTATTTATTATCTTTGCAAATGAAGTTATCTCGATCCACGTCGATTTTGCTCAATTTTACAGCGTTTCACGCACCAGGAGGTACGCGAATGCTCGCTCGCTCGCTCGCTCGCCGCTTGCATGCAACGTTGCAAAACAACACTCCACATAGCGGTCAGATCGTTTTATCATGCTTACCTGTCCGCTTTATCGCTCGCCACTCCACCACGTAAATTGCCACGTGGATGAACTTAATTCACGTTAAGCTCGACGAGTGATGAGGATTAGACCGAGACGCGAAGCAACGCGGTGCACGCGCTGTTTCGCGCGAGAATTTTAAGCGAGCGCATAAAGCAGCCGGAGCCGGAGCAGCCGGCGAATAAATCACCGTCGATACTTCTGCCAAGTTCCTAGGTCGAGGTCATACGCGCTTTCGAACCTACACCTCCGACACGGCCGGGAATCGCGGCTGTACCTTGCACTCTCGTACAGCCGGAAAATTATTGACTCTCGATATCCCTTCTTACGAGCGGACGATTAATGATACTCACTGGTCGTAGTCGCGTCTCTCTCCCTCCCTCCCTCCCTCTCTCTCTCTCTCTCTCTCTCTCTCTCTCTCTCTCTCACTCTCTCTCTCTCTCTCTCTCTCTCTCTCCAGATGCGCTCTAAACTGCCGCAGGATCGCTTTGCGAAATCAAACTCAGCATACGCGAAACACATTTCGGTCGAGGAAAGTCGCGCCTAGCAGGATTCCGACGATCAAGCATCACCATGACGATTTCGTACTCACGTGTTCGTCATTCGCGCGCGAGTTTTGTACTGAAAATGCGCCGGCAGGGTTCACTCCCGAATTAGCGCGGCTCGTTAGTCGGTATTTGGAAAGGGTGCGATCTTCCCCCCGGGGCGGGGGTGAGGGGAGGAGGGGATTTTCGTCTCGTCTCGTCGAGGCTCAGGCAGGGTGTCGCGGAAAAGCAGTGGTATCGATTCGTACGTACCTGGATCAGCCGAGTCGGGTACGGTCTGCTCGCGGGCGGCAATGCTCAAAGATGAGAAAGAGGGGACCCGGTCGAGCACCGTCGTGGTGGTGGCAATATAAAGCCCGACGAGTGGCGGGCCTCAGCCAGTCCGTGAGCGGTACCTACACCTTCAAGGTCCGCGTCCTTGAAGGCGAACTCGTCCTCGATTATATCCGCCCCGTGTGCCGCACACGAAGATCGCCGAGTCTCGCGGCCGAGAGATTCGCCGGATCTCCCCTCGCAGGAAAATCGGGCCCCGCTCCAATCCCGCTATCCCCTCCCGCGCCCTTGTCGCCCCGGAAGTGGCCGCCAGGTGCTGCGCCACATCCCCACCCCACCCTCCTGATCCAGGTCCCCTTTCATCCCTTCCTGAGTAGCAGCGTCGTGGGCGAACGAATCAGTTGAACGGAAGTGATCGAGGGGTAAAGAGTTGGGTGATTGCGAGAGAAGCAACAGCTCGTGGCAAGACGTCGAAGACGAACACGAAGACGACGTCGACGTCGCGGAGAGGAAGTTGCGTTCCCCGTCGAGGGTCAGGACGAGCATGAGGTCCGCGTCGGTGCTGCTCCTGGTAGCAGCTTTCGTCCTTGCCGGTGAGTAGCAGATTTCTCCGCGAGCGATTTCTCTCTCTCTCTCTCTCTCTCTCTCTCTCTCTCTCTCTCTGTCGCTACCGCTCTCTCACGCTCTCGCGGGCCATGTGTGGTGAGTATCGAATTCTCTCGCGCTCAGCGCGATAGGGCCATGCGATAGAGTTCCCTGGGCCTCCTCGCCGCGCGTTGTCGCGCTACAAGTACTGGAGACCATTTTTGTTTTTTTTTTGCAAAAATCTCTGCCCGGTCAGTCGCCCGGTAGTCGCAAGTGAACTTTTCGCCACGACTCAACAGATCGATCGCTCTTCGTCCTTCGCGCGTCCATTGCTCGACAATCGCGTCGATAATTACGATTTCACGATTTCGTTGGACATAAATTCGGTCCCGAGAAACTGGCTGGATGGCCGGAACGTTGTTCACGGGTCGACGGGAACGGGGTACGAAATGCAGAAACCGAAGCGTTGAAACCTGAAATGGAGTCCTCGCTGAAAAATCGTCGAGCGACCGCAAGAGCAAACGAGAGAGGTCTACCCGCAGCAGCGGGTAGACACGAGAGATCGCGTATATAGTATCTCAAAGCCGTTCAAAATGGCGAAAGTGCCAGTGCAATCTGGCTGATTCGTGAGGTTTCACCGGTCTATTCCTGTGTCCTCCTCCGCGGGATTCCGCGCGGGATTGGTTCCCTTCTCGTCGCGGACGAGACCGACGGTGCTCGTGGCGACGTGCGAAACTACTCGACGTACGCCTGGACTCGAACCGATCATCAGGACGACAGGTTGCATAAGAGATTAGAGCGTGAAAGCCTCTCAGTCCGGTCGGTCCCGGATGGGTGACGTCACTGCCGTGCCCCGGGCACCTGAAAACGGCGCGGGTGGGGGCACAACTTTCCCTGTTTGTCGTTCCGCCACGAAGTCGCGTCGCGTCGCGAGCCCCGGGGACCAACGGGACCGGAGGCGATTGTCAGATGCGACGGTTTCCTCGGAAACGCGACCGACCTCGCCCCTTTCGGGACTGCCCACCGAGGCAGAAAATCCTCGAGGAGACGCTGAAAAATCGCGATCACCTCCCCCGGTGCAAAAGTCGAGTCGAAGTCGCAAGGTCACTGGGAAAAATTGCACGTCTAATCCTAGCTTTGCCTAGCTGCTTTCTTCAATCAGCTACAATCGCGCGCGCGCGCGAGAAAGAAGGAGAGACCAAGTTTTCCAAGCTGATTACGTTGCGTGGTGAGGTGGTGAGGTGAGGTGAGGTGAGGTAATCATAGGTATACTACTGTAATCGTGGGTAATTGCGAGTGTAATGACAGTGGTAGGCGAAAGTACTTGTTGTTTGACTTGTTCTCTTCCTTTCGTTGGAAACACCCTTCCTGTATAATCCATCATCTTTGCTTATCCGTGGTCGCATCGAAGCGCAGCGCAGCGCTCGTGATTAAAATATCGCAGAGTTGCCGAAAATTCAGCCGAGAGTGTTCAGCAGAGTGATCGATCGCGAAGCGGACACGGAGCTCCCTGGGAGAATCGCAAAATGTCCCCTCGCCAAGAGCCTCGCTGTTCTGCATTTCAGAGGGCTCGATTCGAGTGAAGCGTCAGGAGGACAAGAAGGAGGAGAGCTTCGAGAGCGAGATCTGCAAGGACAAGGATGCGGGAGAGTGGTTCAGACTGGTCGCAGGCGAGGGTGACAACTGCCGCGACGTTATTCAGTGCACGAGTTCCGGCCTGCAGGCGATAAGATGTCCGGCCGGCTTGTACTTCGACATTGACAAGCAGACTTGCGACTGGAAGGACTCGGTGAACAACTGCAAGCTGAAGAACAAAGAGCGGAAGGCCAAGCCCCTGCTCTACACCGAGGAGCCGCTTTGTCAGGACGGCTTCCTCGCCTGCGGGGACGGATCTTGCATCGAGAGAGGTCTCTTCTGTAACGGAGAGAAGGACTGCACCGACGGTTCCGACGAGAACATCTGCGGTAAGTCTGGCTGGTCGCATTGCATCCGACAGCACCGATTGAAAGCGCAAACAACACACGATAACGTGTCGCGATAACGAAACGAAACGCGATCCCCTCGCGACATTGCAGACATGGACAACGATCCGAACAGAGCGCCACCCTGCGATCCTGTCGTGTGCGTCCTGCCTGATTGCTTCTGCTCGGAGGACGGCACCACGATACCCGGCGATCTCCCGGGCAAAGACGTGCCGCAGATGGTGACGATAACCTTCGACGACGCCATCAACAACAACAACATCGGCCTCTACAAGGACATCTTTAACGGCAAGCGCAAGAATCCGAACGGCTGCGACATCAAGGCTACCTTCTTCGTGTCCCACAAGTACACCAATTACTCCGCGGTCCAGGAAATGCACAGAAAGGGTCACGAGATCGCCGTCCATTCTATCTCGTAAGAATTAACTCTTTCTCTCGGCATCGCCATTCTCATTCACACGTGCCATCGTCTTCTCTCTCTCTCTCTCTCTCTCTCTCTCTCTCTCTCTCTCTCTCTCTCTCTCTCTCTCTCTCTCTCTCTCTCTCTCTCTCTCTCTCTCTCTCTCTCTCTCTCCCGCCGACAGCCTCGCGCCGAAACTGACAGTGATAACCATACGTTACACAGTTTCTTTCCTGAGCATGAAGGAAAACACGAGTGCAGGTTCCTGGCGTACAGGTCACGTCATGTCGCTCGCTGCCATAGTCATGATTAATAAAATTACAACTACGTCACTACATAATCTTTACCATGACAACTTTGGGGTAAGGCATAATGACGACGAGCGCTTCTGGTCGGACGCGACCGTCGACGACTGGGCGAAGGAGATGGCCGGCATGAGGATCATCGCCGAGAAGTTCGCCAATCTGACGGACAACAGCGTGGTGGGCGTGAGAGCGCCGTACTTGCGAGTCGGCGGCAACAATCAGTTCACCATGATGGAGGAGCAGGCCTTCCTCTACGACTCCACCATCACCGCGGCCTTGAACAACCCCCCGCTCTGGCCGTACACCATGTACTTCAGGATGCCGCACCGCTGCCACGGAAATCTTCAACATTGCCCAACCAGGTGAAACCTCTCAGCACCACCACTCGGGCTATAATAGGGATGTAGGAATGTTTAAGCGTCATCTTTAAACGACGAAACGTTCTGAACGTTCTCACGCAGGTCGCACGCCGTTTGGGAGATGGTGATGAACGAGCTGGACCGACGCGAGGACCCTCAGAACGACGAGTACTTGCCAGGATGCGCCATGGTGGACTCGTGCAGCAACATTCTGACCGGTGATCAGTTCTACAACTTCCTCAACCACAACTTCGATCGTCACTACGAGCAGAACCGCGCGCCCCTCGGTCTCTACTTCCACGCCGCCTGGCTGAAGAACAACCCCGAGTTTTTGGACGCCTTTCTCTACTGGATCGACGAAATCTTGCAGAACCACAACGACGTATTCTTCGTGACGATGACTCAGGTGATCCAGTGGATTCAGAATCCGCGCACCATCACCGAGTCGAAGAACTTTGAGCCGTGGCGGGAGAAGTGCTCGGTCGAGGGCCCGCCGGCCTGCTGGGTGCCTCACACCTGCAAACTCACCTCGAAGGAGGTGCCCGGGGAGACCATCAACCTTCAGACTTGCGTGCGCTGCCCCAACAACTACCCCTGGGTGAACGACCCGACCGGTGACGGCTTCTTCTAAGTTGCCGCGAGCGCGCGATCCTCTTTCTCGTCTTCTAAGTCAAGTCCCTCCTTCTCTCCTTTCTCCTCGATCCTCCCCCCGATCCTCTCTCCTTCAGCAGACCTCGACCGGACCCAATGGCGTCGGTCGAAAACGCGTCGCGAGTCTTCGCGCAGTCCGACACATCGCCGGATAACGTTGACCGACGCATCAGCCGAGTATCCTCGAGGCCTTCGAGAGCAACGGCGATTACGAGGCGACGAGGCACACGGGAGATGAGAGGGGGGCAAGGTCGTCGTTAGTCCGTTAGACTCCGGTGACCATTCTAGTTGCCAATATTTTGCTGTTTTTTTTTTTTTTTGTTGAGAGCGACATTATATCTGTGATGATTAGTCCCCCCGAGTCAGGAGGCCGCAGAGTCTGATGGACTAAGGTCGAACGTAACCGAGCCTTCACTATCCGCCTTCACGTATTCGCAGACTGCGCGTTCCTCTCTGTGCACAGACGCGCGTCTTCCTTCTCGCTGATGTTAAAGGAAAAAGAAACACTTGCAAAATTCGCGCTGCGAACGAACTACTACGAGTCGTTCTTTGAGAGCTCATGAAAATCGCAACTTTTCTCCGCGCGTGTCTCGTCGTCAACTCGTCCGCTTAAAGTTAAAAGTTTACGTTCATCAGATACCAGCGATCTGTGATAGACAGCCGAGGGCGCGTCCTCCAAGTCCTCGAGGACTTGGCAACGAGACGGCCGCGTTGACCTACCATGATGACGAAGACGAAAACGACGACGACGACGACGACGACGACGACGACGACGATGAAGACGATGACGACGACGACGACGACGACGACGACGACGACGAGAGCCGCGCATTCCACTCGAATCGGCAAATGCGAAGCAAATTATCGCGCCCCACCCGAACCCACGGAGGAGAAATCGCGGATCCCTCGATGACGGCCGGTGATCCGCGAGTGTGGGATTCTACGTGTAATATAATATACGTGTCTCCCTCGCTCTTACACCTCCGATTCCCCGTAGAGAGCCACACGACCGATGCCGATCAAAATCGGCGAGTGCGCTCTCTTTCCGTCCCAGAAGCAATCCACGAAGACCGCCAAATCGATTGTTCCCCGATTCGAGATGTGCCCTTATTTTTTTAAGGATCCGCCGACTCTTACACAAATATATAAATATATATATATATATATATTTATATATATATATATATAAATGAAAACGAAATATTGTATATGTATATTTGTAAAAGTAAGCGATATTGCCAATATAGCGTTTTCGACGAACCTTCGAATAAAAGATTCAGAGAAATCTCACACACGAAAGGGCATCTTTCTCCCTTTCTTTCTTTCTCCCTTTCCCTTTCTCTCTCTCTCTCTCTCTCTCTCTCTCTCTCTCTCTCTCTCTCTCTCCTCATTCGCTCTTATTTGCACCGCGTGTTATTCACCACGAGTACTCGCTAATGGGATGGAAAGTGGGGCACGATTAGGCCCCGCAAACTTGACCGCCATTCCAGGAGGAAAATTCGTTTCTAGGACGCAAGAGAGCGAATGAAAGCGCGGGATATAGAGATTTGTTCGTTCACCGGGGTTATGCTCGGAGCTGAATAGAATTGCGCGAATGGAACAATAACTATCCTTCGTCTCTCGCGCTGTTTGGAGCTTCTTCAAAGTCGTTGGGGGATTCATTGAAGAAAGATCCCGCTCGCGGCACTTTGGAGCGTAGCAATCGAGATGCGGCTGCGAGGTAAATTCTCTCAAGGCAGCTCGACAGTTTTTCGCGCTTTTTCGAGTGTCTTCTCGAGGAACGTGCGACAGGAGGACTCGGCCTCACCATCGAATTTGTCGCGTCGCATCGATATATGTGTATCGCTATTCGTATTCGGATCAAGGTCGCGCGACGGTCTCGGCGCAGCCGAGACACGCGAGCGGGATTTTCAGAGCAATTACGAAACCGGAATGAACTTTTCGTCGTGATGTATAAATTGGATTGGCGGTCCTCGTGCGTAAGTACGTGCATGCAGACATACCAGCCGGCCAGATAAGCAAGCAAGCAGGCAGGCAGCCTCGCGCGCGATTGTGCACCAGCAGGAGGACGACAGCCGAGAGAACTCCGGCTCGCATTCTTCCGAGAGAGAGAGAGAGAGAGAGAGGCGCAGAGCGCGCGTCGAGATTGCGACTCATGAACGAGATTTTCCTCCGAGGCTGTATAAGGTGTTTGCGCGCGTTGCTGCTGTGGTGACGGACACCTTCTCTCTTTCTTTCTCTCTTTCCCCCTCCCCTTCTTTCTCTCTTTCTCCCTAAACCATGACGCGTTCGTATCGCGAGATTTTCAATGAGACGCATTAATTCTGGTTAATCGTCTCGAAATGGCCGCGCTTTGAGAGCTTCCCGCAGGAGCGCCGTCTCGAGCGTCGTCGAGGTAACGAGGAAATTAATACGACGCTGCGATACAAAAGTGATTTATCGCAATTTCACCACGTCTAATGACCCCTGCAACACTTCGGACTATGTTATTGATACAGTCTTAAGTACGGGGTAAAGCATACTTCCCTTTTCTCCCGTTATTTACGACCGCGGTGAATTCCTCTCTCGTAATCGGCGAGCGCATTACGAGTGGTGTTACGACGAAACTCGAAAGACTCGCGGCTGCTTTGCGACCATTCATCGGCGATTCGTTCCCGCTGGTAATTAAAAAGACGACAAGCGCAATTGTACATCTCGAGACACAACATGGAAGCTACGTGACACACCGAGAGCTCCGTTAGTGCGGGACTCGTGTCGAATCGCGATGAAGCGGACAGCCCGCCGAGCACGAGTTAGCGATGGCTCGCACGAGAATGAAGCGCAACGAATAGCTCTTTCCTCCCGAGCGATTACGAGGTCCGCCTTGCTAATTGACGGCTAATTGGATCAGCAGCGTTTACGCTGACGCTGCGATGCGGCGACTGAGCCAAACCGTGGACGTAAAATTTGCGATAAGTATGGAACCCCGGCGTCGCCGCTGTGCACGCCGGTTTCCGTTTCATTCGAATCAGTCGAATCGGGGATAAAGAAAGGCAGACAACGGCAGAAGAATAATGTTAACCTCGTGAAATACCAGCCGGTGAAACACCGGCGACCGGCGACGGCGGTTGCATTCCGATGCAGCCTCTCTTTCGTCGCCGTGTTTAAAGAGTCGACACGCCTGCCACGTGTCGACGAGTCCGATCGACGTGCCGGCAGGATGATCTCGAGGGACTTCCCATTCACGAGCAACGGATTCCTCGATCACGACCGCGCGATCGCGTCGTGCCGAGTAAACGACTTAATAAGCGACTCCGAGGGGTCACGCGCATCCTTCAGCCGCGTTTCGTTCAGCCTTTTACGCTACGTTTTAGATCGCGCCCGAGGCCAGCTTCGCTCGAGTCCTTTATCGAGACGGTGCATCCAGACGGAAGTGTGCAACCGCCGGGAATTTTTCGCCGGATGTCGCTCTCGAGCGACGTTTTACTTCTTCACGACGACCCTAAGAACGCGCTCTTATTGACTCTCTCCCTCCCTCCCCCCCCCCCGGCTCACTCCCGCCGAGAGCACCTACTCACACTCATTTTATTCATCGGTACAAAAGTCTTTGTTAGATAATTTGCCGGTGTCACGCGAGTCGAAGGTGCACCCACGATCAGATTCCATTAACCCCGCCATAAGACGCGTGATTAAATTTCGCAATGGTAAGAGCGGCCCGCAGAGGACAGAACGTTCGACGAAGCGCTACAACCATCAGCGTCTCCGCGTGCAAGTACCAGGAGCCGGCATCCTTGAAAGATGATCGTTGCCATTAGAGCTTGCTAGTGGTTGCTAAAGTATTGCAACTGCAATCTATAATCAACACGAACGGCGGAATACATTGTATACATCGTCCGATCGTCCGAAGAGAAAAGGATATAATCGCATTGGATTAATTTTCATTCCTTAAACGAGTGATTTCGTCAAATAATTTTATTGAATGACGAGTGTTTTCCAGAGAGAGAAAGAGAGAGAACCCCCAATTCCGTTGACCGTCCAATTTATCTTCGCTAATTGCTAGTGCATCGCTGATTGTTCGTAACGCAAGGCAGCTTCACGTGGCCAGATTCCCGTGTCTAGCTGAACAGCCGAAAACGTAAAGCACGCGATGATGGCAGTTTGCACAACGCGGGTGGTGGAGAGGACAACTCGTCCTCTCGGACTTCTCTCTTCTGGAAGACAACGCGTCTCCGGCGGTATGGCGCCGATAAAACGCTCGCAACAACGGCGCGCTAAACGACAACCTGAAAATCTCGCATAAGCGAAAGTAGAGAAAGCTACGTAGCTCGCGAAGCCGCGGCAAGGCCGCTTAAAGCTGCTTAAAGACGAAATACGCCTAGCGGCGCCGTTCAGATATCGGCTGAAATCACGCGCGTAATCACCGGACTGATTATCGGCGGGCGTGAACGAGGACTGTCATTAGGTTCGAAGTTTATCGCGCTGACATTGCCTTGGCGGCAGCTACGTCGTCTCGCGTACGCACATCCTCCGCTGCAGTCTCGCGATTCCCCTAGCAAAATGAACAAACCGTGTTGCGTGCGTCCGGCGAAAAGAAATCAGTCTATCGGACGTACTTGTTTGCTCGCGAAATTCACGCTGGGCTATATTTTATTTATCTCGCGTATCGCGCGTTATATTTCGGCCGGCAATTTTGCACAAAGTCAATATTGATTTTCGAAAATCTCGTTCGCCACTCGAGGCGCAATTACGTAGCCATGCAAAATCGGGCGTTTTTAATTTTACATTATTAACGACACGCTCTCCGCGATAACGACGCAGGGAGCAAATCGTAGTCGTGTAATTTCGGAAGCTGCAGCTGAACGCAGCCGGCTTCCGAATGGCGCGTAAATGATCCCGGCTGAACAAAACTGCTGCCGGTTGAAGGCGCTTGCAAGTGCGAGAGTTCCGATAATGGAATATTTAATAACCGGCCGGTCGGCGCGACGTGCGGTGCGGCGCGGCGAGGCGCGCCTCGTTGCGCCTCACCTTTCCGATACGAGCCGGTCGAAAGAAACGACGCGAGTCTCGGTGAAATTGACTCCTACTAGGTCAGTGGGTGACGGAAGCCGAGTGACGCGGCTAGAGGTATTTGTCTATCTGTTGGTCGCGACTTGTTCTCAGCAGGCATACAAGCAGATAAACATCGCGCGCCGTTGATTGAAATTCTTCTTGCACGCGCGGCGAAGTCAGAATGCGGGTTCTCTCGCAGTGCTCAATTTCACCGGCGATGATATCAGGCCGGATAATTTTAGGAATATACTACGCTCTTAGCGAAATTATAACGCTCGCCACGTGGTGGTTACGATTAAAAATGATTCGTCAAATGAGTCGAACGATTTTACGAGGCGTGTAGAGCAAAGTGTGAAAGCACGCCTCCGCTTAAATCAATGTGTAAAATTGTTAACAGAGAGAGAGGGAGAGTAAAATGTTACACGATGTTTCGCTTCACTTAATTAAAATAAAGCGGAGCGTGCCGATTCTTGTCTAGGTTTCCCGAAAAAGTCACTTCATCTGACAATAATTAATTTATAACAACCGAGTCGTTAAATTAAAATTATGAAATGATTTTATAGTTGTTGCAAAGATGACACCATGACTAAGAAAAGAAATCGCGTGGTTCGGGAATAAAAAAAATCTCCTTCGAGCCGGATTTGAACCAGCGACCTATGGATGCCCGCTGAATAAGCTCTCTCTACCAACCTCTACAGTCCACCGCTCTACCAACTGAGCTATCGAAGGCTTGTGATCACGGTGGTGTAAGTAATAGAGATATTTATGTAGTCATTGATTCTATCATTATATTTATTAAAATAAAATGGAATTAAATTTTTCACATCTCGTCTTTTTAAAATAAAATAACGCAACGTAATAAAAGAATATTCTTTTAGATTAAACTGAATCAGCGATGTGAATTTATATTTTAAAAGTATCAAATGTAATTCCTTGACCTACAAATTTTGCCTGTTGAAAATTTTTATTCCTCTTTAGAAAAAGTAAGTATAAAAAAGATATTGATGTAATATCAAATAAATTTAGAACAATATGTCCGCAAAAAAAGATAAACATTTTTTTCGAACCAACAACCTTTGGACTGTGGTCATGTGGTGCAGCATCGCCCTCTGTTTCTATCGCTACCGGATGTTTCTCGTTTTTATAACTAATAATCTATTGTCATAACAATATCTAGAACTAATCTTTAGAAAAAATATTCCATCACTCTGTTAGTGCGACGCCTCCTGACTTTTGAAGATGTTTTCTCCTTCGCATTATATGTAAAGTATATAATGGATATTGAAGAAAGAACAAAGATGAAGATTACATTTTTACAGGAGACACATTTACAGGAGACTTTCAGTTAAAAATATATATCAGACTTACGATAATAAAGCTACTTAAATGAATAATTCAACATATAAATTTATTTTACGCGTAAAAAGTAGATTTTAATGAAACATGCAACAAAAAATTCCTTCGAGCCGGATTTGAAACCAGCGACCTATGGATGTCTTCTCTTTCATGCAATCGTAGCCAACTACAGTCCACCGCTCTACCGACTGAGCTATCGAAGGCACGTGTTCGGGCTTCTTGGCAGAACTTAATGAATGAATTTAAAAATGGTTACAAAAGAGCTAAAAAATTCCTTCGAGCCGGATTTGAACCAGCGACCTATGGATGTCTTCTCTTCTCACTTTCGTGCAATCGTGGCCAACTACAGTCCACCGCTCTACCAACTGAGCTATCGAAGGCACATGCCTCCAACTCCTTGGAAGAACTTAATGAATTAAAAATTGTCACAAAAGAGCTAAAAAATTCCTTCGAGCCGGATTTGAACCAGCGACCTATGGATGTCTCTTCACTTTCGTGCAATCGTGGCCAACTACAGTCCACCGCTCTACCAACTGAGCTATCGAAGGCACATATATTCCGCTCTCTCAAAGAAACTTGATCAATCGAAGGATATTGCGAAGTAGCTAAAAAATGTAAAAAGTTCCTTCGAGCCGGATTTGAACCAGCGACCTATGGATGTCTCTTTTATGTAAACGACAAACAACTACAGTCCACCGCTCTACCAACTGAGCTATCGAAGGCTCCTGTCAATCGCTTTTAATTACATCGTTGTGTAGAGCGAATTGATAAAAGCCAGCGGCAGATAGCCCTATGCGCGATAAACGCGCGGCGATTTACAAAAGAACAATATAAATTCATGGCGTGCCGCCATCGGCGATCACACTTTACGGTTCAACGTATTCCGTTATTCGTGCGCGCGCGCGCGCGAGCGATATTAATGTAACAACGTTGCGAGACAGGTGGAGAACATAATAACAAACCGTATTCCGCTACCGGCATTACACGAGCGTTCCGCTTGGACGAGCAAAATTCTCTCCTCACTGCGTGTTCCCGATCGAAACACGCGGGACCGATTATCGTGAGCAACGCTCACCAACAGTCATAACTATGCTACCGTAACGAGACATGAATTGTCAGGAGGAACCATATCTCTTTCTATCGCAACAGTCAGTAGACTCGCCGCTCGACGGAAAATCTCGCGGTTACGACCGCTCGTTAAAGGAAAATTCAATCAATGGAAAGTGATTATGCAGATTTCGTTCCGAAGGCGTGACGGTTGCGACGTTTTCACTCGCGTCGGAACCAGCTCTCGAGTGTTACTACAAGTAGCGGTTCCTCCTCGACGACCTCGTTAACCCTTTTCCCTCCTTACAACTGCTTTTTCCATCCGGGAACATTCTGATTCCGAGATGGCGCGAAAGTTTCGTTTACTCGCATTTCATTGCGTCTTCAAGTAATCAAGTATGATCAAGTATGTCATTTGTGGCGACATTTCGTCGCCGTTATCGTCATCGTCGCTTCGTTGCGCATCGTATTTGTCTACTTGAGGTCGAAGGTTTAGCAAAATGCGTCACGGCAGATAACACACGTCCTGAGTTCGATTCGTGGCCGCTAAATGAATTAGCGCTAAATCGGCGGCTTAAAATCACCGGATGCTGCCGATTGTCCCCGAGGCGTGTGCCACACCCCTCGTCGCGTCACCCACGTCGCGAATTCCAGCCGTTTTTCGCCGGGAGAAGGTATGCTGCGGCATACAAGCATTGCTCCGATCAGCGAAACCGCGATGCACAAGCACGCGCTATCAACTCATCATCTGACTGAACATACTGAAACGACTGTTAATAAAAATGTCGTACGATTACAAGATAATTCGAAGAGACGATTAAATTCTGAATTGTCATTCTTTTACAAATGTCGGAAGTAGCTTTCGAGCGGCCTACTGATACGCTTCCGGGTAAACAAGAGCCACCACCAGCCGGAAGATCGAGCGACCGGCGCTACACGACGATAAAGTATGTTCGACCTCGAGTATGTTCGTCTCTCGTTAGTGTCAGGAGAGTGCGAATTTCTTGCCCACAAGCCAAACGACACCGTCCTTGCTGCCGGGTTACTTGCACGGCGAGCAACCTTTCTTATTTTCCATGTGTCTTGCTGGCGATCGGAACGCGATATCGGGAGAATTTTTCTAGTGAAAGGCGACGAGAACGCTTCAGTTTGCACTCCGAGTCAATCACTGCCATCGAGTTCGAGTTAATGAACGTGTTGCGAGTTGGTATCTGAACGTTGGTAGGCTGAACGTCGTAAAATCCGCAGATAATCGAGCGGGATTTTTTTCCCAGTTAATACATTTGTAATACCTCAAAACGTACGTATCTGATTCGATTAATTCGTTAGAACTTGGGGGGTGAATTGAAAGTTTGGTGATTGGTGATTAGGAAAAGAGCCGAGAGATCGAGGTTAGATATTATAGAGATTCTTGCGAGAGAAATTAAGATGCGCGAGAAAGGATATTTTCGCCGGCTCGCAGAGCCGCGAATGAAAATGAAATTGGAAAGACAAGAAAGGCGCGCGGGAGAGCCTCCGCGCGCATCCTCCGCTGTCGCTTTCAACTTTCAACTCTCCGCGACCGTCACCTATTCTCCCTACTCGCAGAGTTACCTTTTCTTCTTCATGCCGTTGAATGTAATGTACATCGAAGTAGTGTAACGGAATACTCGCGTTTATTACGACACCCTATTATCCACGGGAGAAGGAACTCGCCGGGAAATGACGACGACGACGACGACGACGACGACGACGACGACGACGACGACACATAATCGCGCTTGAATCGGATAAAGTGCAAAAGCGTAAGTCCGTTAAGCGAATTCCTCGCAAACAGCAAACAAGTTTACATTACCCGATCAATTGTGGCTAAAGTGGATTATAATTGCAACGTCGCTCTACCTGTTTCCTCGCGCGAAGAAACATTCCAATGTAAAAAGCGACGCTATGTGCAACACCGCTTTATCGGAACGCAGTTAAAACAGTGACAATCGATAGCGATTAAATGAGCCCTCGAGCCAATCGATTGTTCGGATTATTTGGAGACAGAAATTCAACAAACGGCACCACAAACGTGGTACTAAACGAAATCGCAGTTTCGCGTTTCTCTGATTGCAAAACTATACACTGGAGCTGAACCATCCGCTCAAACATCGCAGACATGAATCCCGAATCCCGAGAATTACGTGCGAGAGCGAAGCCTCCTGCGAGGACAGGCGCGGTTGAATCGCCGGCCGTAAATATATACTGCACCATACGTACATACAGGTAACGGGATATTTCAGCCGCGTTGCAACACCGTCGTATTATCCGCAAAGCGGGGTCATTCTCATGCTTATGCTTATACGAGAACAGGCCGCCGTGTGGCTGGTAGCCCGACGGTGACGAATCATCTCGAGATCGCGGCGATAATAGCTGCTTCTCGCCTGGCCACGTTGTATGTGTGTGATTTTTGCACGTATCCTCGACTTCGGCCCTGGATCACATGACGTACGACGTTTGACAGTGAAAGTTATCCGCGAGCGTGTTGTGCGCCCTCGGGCCGCTCGAAAACCACACGACCGCCTCGCTCGTCCCACCCTGGAGGAGGAGGAGGAGGAGGAGGAGGAGGAGGAGGACGCGACATGCCGGACCTCGCGCGCGCGATCAGACTTCCAGAGGATTCGTTTCGTGGACGAGAACGGTTGATAGAACCCGTAGGCCCTGAACTTACGATGACGACTCCAAGACGAGACTCTGCGCATCTCGTTTAGCATCGGATGAAATAATCGACGCCTCGTCGAGATTAAAGTTCACCAATTATTCGGGCCGCTCGTGGTTCGGCCCCACATCATTTCACTGCGCGCATACACGCTTAGGAATCTGCCCGACGCAGATACTTTAAAAGCGCAATAAAACGCGTTGGAAATGCGCATGATGAGAAACCGAAACCAGATAGACGGGAGATCTCACGAGATCTCAATCGTAGCAAAGAGAAAGGAATATTTCGCCGAATATATCGTCCAAACTGAACGCAAAGCGCAAGAGCACCTGGGTGCTCGGCACCCTCGCTCGACGACACGGCCGAAATTAATTTTTAATCAGCAAATAGCTGAGATGACCTCGATTCAAAATATCGTTCAATCACAGCGGTTGCTCGATAATAATTACTTGAGCCTCGAATCATGTCATCCCGCCTGATTCACCTCTCTTTTCCCGTAGCACGTTGCACATCCCTGCGGCGTTTTTCCTCGGGGAGGAGGGGGGGGGGGGAAGGTACTTCGGTATGAGGTGCGAGGACATGGCTGATATTGGGAAAATCGTCTGCGATCCAGATCTGCCGACGAAGAGCTATGAATTTCGCGGATCGATCGCTCGTTCCAGGGACACCCGGGCTGTGCTGCACCTCCTGCGCACCTCACCGCACCTCTTCAGGGGCAAGGTCGACCGCTCCCTACCACCGTGACACGCACGTGTACGTGCACACGTACAGGCACACGTATTGCACACTCACGTACGTACAAGCGTGCACGTTTCTACGGGCGCAAATGGGCGTGTGCACGTGGTTGCAGTTGCACTCTCTCTCTCTCTCTCTCTCTCTCTCTCTCTCTCTCTCTCTCTCTCTCTCTCTCTGTCTCCCTCTTTGTGCGAACAACTCGTCCGACCCTGGCGGACAAACTGGTGAAAGTGACAAGAGGCAAGGTCGTCTCAGGCCGCCAGTTACAAAATCAGGAATTCCTCGAAAAACAAGCGGCCGGTTTGAATCCTGTATCGATCGGGCCGCGACGCACCGCGCGACAGGACGACTTGCGCAAGGATCGTAAAAATTAAAAATCGCCGGCCCGCGCGTCGCGGACGAAAATGCGGCGATTCGCATTACTGCGGGACCAACGGCATTTCGCACGGAGAAGAATCGCCGGCGCCGGCGTGCCCGTGGAATATCCACGTTCACGCAGGTATACAAAAGGCGCGGTCCTTTCGCAGCGTGAAATGGCCGGGGAGTCCCAACCGGGACGGGGGAGGGGGGCGCTTTGGAAGCTGCTCGAAATTAGGCACGCTATCGTACGCGTATCTGCTGTAACCCGACAATATTCTAAATTTCTTCACCGGTACTATCTTTTTTCGAGAATCTTTCTGTGAGAAATTATACACGGTACACGGTCTCGTGATTTTTAACTAAGTATAATTGAAATCTGCG